GCAACAAATGTCTGTTTCTTTAATAAATTATTGAGATATTAGCAAATTTATGATGCACGAATTTTTATTTAAGTTTGCGTAAAGGATTTAAGGATCGACTCTGTAATTTAGCGGTTGAATTAATTGTTAATATGAAACTATTGTGGTAACTCGGCGATTTCATATCAAAAATCAATACCGAAATAGTTTTTTTTATCATCTTAAAAGGCTAATATAAAATAGAATATAAACATATCCGAAATCTACTTAAATTGGAACTGATTGGAACTGAATAGTTGTAATAAAAATTCTAATATTAACAATAAACTTACTATATAATCAACAAACTGAATTCATCTACTTTAACTATATAGAAGAATGTCATATCCGCAAACTTCAAATCAAAATCAAAATAAGTCCATGTTCCACGCCACATTTCTTGATGGCTTTCGTGGTTTGGCAGCTTTAAGCGTTCTTTGGGCTCATAGCCAGGCCATGTATCCACGTTTGGATTTTAACACATTCGATTATATGGGATTTTATGGTGTAATCATGTTCTTTGTACTTTCCGCTTTTTTACTTACTTTTCGGTCGCTTTTGGAATGGGAAAAGTATCATGAAAAAAGAGAAGAAGAACAAAAGACTGATTCAATTGTTGTAAATAATGATCATTTAGAAAGTTGCGTGGACCTTGAAACAAACTTATCAAACATTCCACTCTTGTCATCGACGAATTCTGATAACATTGTAATATCTTACTATTTATATTTAATTGAAATTATTTTTAATTACTTTATAATTATTACTAATCGTTTAATAATAAATATTAGATTGAAAGATCTTCATTAGAGAAAAAGCTTGATAATTTTTCTTACCATCATAACCGAAAAAAAATATGGCTAAAATGTCAAACACCAATAAAATTTTGGTTAAAGTTCTTTCTTCGTCGATTTATGCGTATATACCCACCGTATACGGTTCTTTTACTATTGATTGCATATAACGACTTCGTGAAAAATGCATATGAATCTTTTATGGATTCCTCAACTTTACTTCATCATCTACTATTTCAAGCGGATAATAATTATATTTTTTGGACTCTTCCTATAGAATTAACGGTATTTATTTTTCTAGTCGTTTTGACAATTTTGATAATTTTTTCACCAATCAAAATCAAAAAATTAATATTTCGAATGGAACCATTCAGTAGCGTTCAATATGTCATTCAACTTATATTTTTGTCGAATGATGGTCGAATGACAATTGAATGGTGCCACTTGATATGTCTAATTTTTGATTTTAATTAGCGATTTCTTTATAATATATTAAAATTTATAAACCAACATTTGTCACATATAGTATTATTTCTTTATACCAATAATTATCATCGTATATGTGGAGTTTGCCCGTTTTGGTGCTTTCCTTACAAACCATTACTTTAAGAAACCTGCAATTGGTGCTTGGATATGTCGAATAATTGCTAATGTTATTATTGTGACTATACGAACTAAATTATTAATTGCAAGCAGTGAAAGGGACGACGGTTTTTATAGTAACAGTTTTGTGAGCAAAATTCATATCTTTTTGACTGGATCAATATGTGCAATTTGGTATAGAGAAATAATTCGCCTTGGATTGTTGCCATTGAGATTAGAAGAAGAAAAGAATATTTTGGCTGAAAATTTAAATAATTTTAATATACCTACGCTTATAAAACCGAGTTTTGTTCAATTAATTATTAGCAAATTACCGAGTAGACATCAGTTTGCAAGATGGTTTTTTGATCTTGGATGTTATTTCTTCGCTTTCATTAAGCTTTGTACATTGCCTCATCCAGCTGAAATAGTTTTTGGTTTACCTCGTTCTTATGATATGTTTTTAGAAAGAAAAAAACTTGGTGGCTTGCTCGATGCAATATTAATTCTTTTTGGGCTCCTCTCACGAAATGGCTCTTTTGCAAAGGCACTTTCTTGTGACTTTTTACGTTTGTGTGGACAAATTTCATTTAGTATTTATTTATTACATCCACTTGGAATGAAATTGGTGAATGAATGTGTGCCCTCAATTGGATACCATGCAGCAAATCAAGAATCAGACGCAATTGATAAGGGTAATGCGATATTGGATGCGGTGATAATGTCATATATAACAACAATTATTTTAGCATGGTTCTACTTTAAATGTATTGAAAAGCCTTTTATGAATTTAGCTAATTATATTGCGAAGAGATGGTTATCATGAAATAGTAAATTTATTAATTTTATCATGTATGTGTTAATAGTTTCTTTTAACCAATATGTTTTACGATTGTATATTAACTCTTTAACTTCTAGTACACCCTTTAGTCACCATACAAGAACATATAACAATTCTCTTTAGAAAACTAACTTTTATAACTATATAGAAAAAACCTTTATGTAAACACAACAATTTAAAACTATA